AGTTTAATAAACTGTTTCAATGTTTGCATCAATTGATTGATAGGCGAGAAAAGTGACAAATTTCTTATCGCAAAGTCATATCATTACAAATGGTCTCGTTTTACACCCATTTTATATGAATTTATGTCGAAATTGATTACTGCATAACAACTACTGTTCCCTTTCCTCATGCCTTCGCTCTCTATCCCTATCTCTAGACTTATGTTTGCGTTTGTGTTTGGATTTGTGGTCCTCTTTGCGGTGATCGTCACCATCCCTTCTGTCACTCCTATGCTTTCGATGCCTTTCTTTACTCCGATCTCTACTCCGATCTCTACTCCGACTCCTACTTCGGCTTATACTCCGAGTCTTCTTACGACTGGTATTCGTGGTCTCTCTCTCGTCTTCAGAGCTCGAGTTCCTGTGTTTGCGGTGATGTTTGTGACGGGATTTGGACTTCTTTTTATGTCTTCAAAATGACAATCAGTTGTATTAAACCACAAAACAAATGAGTATTTGTAACAAACTTCTTGTGTTTCTTGTGGTGTGAATGCGTGTCTCCGGTGAATATATTGAGATCACTTTTGGATGGTTGGGCAGCACTTCCAGGGTCTGGCAGCTCATCGCCACTGGTGTCAGAACTGGTGGAACTGACGTCCAAAACAATCTCTTGCTCGGGGTTGACGCGGAAGAAGTTGCGGCACTGGTATGTGAAGTGTCCGGCTATTCAATAGACGCCAAACATGTCATTAAAACCGCAGACAATATGAATGCTTGGAAGCGATGGTCAATACTAACGATATCCACACTTCAGACACGCGGACCTCATTTGACTGCTGTTTGTCGACTGATGCGACAGTTTTGCCATTATTTCTGTCAATTCATACAAACATCAGTCAACCACTCATTCAATCAACCAATATATAGATAATTAACTTACCTTTCAATGGGTTATTCATTTTGGATCAGTTGAGGTGACAATCAAATCAATTGAGACCGCAATCGATGCAAACAATAACTAATTGAGTGATTGTTTTGATTTGAAAAACGCTTTCATTTGACAAACATATCGCACATAATGTTCACGTAATTCATGCGAAAACCATTAAAATGAATGCATTTTTCAAAGTTTTGTTTACATATCACACGAAACATTAGTTTTTAGTTTTTATTTATTTATTAAATTGTGTTTTAATTTCATATTTATTTTAATGTCTATTTATTGTCAAATATAACCTAGTTTATTATTGATGATATTGTTGTGTAATGTTTGACATAAACTCAATGCATATGTTTAGACCAAATGAGTCCACAATAAGGTATTTTCAAAACTAATTGTTTTTATGATAAGTAATAGTTAACTATAATATAATCATTATTATTATTAACTATTGCGATAGAAATGGTATTCAAATTAAGTTAAATTGAGGCTTAAAATAATGACTGTATTTAACATTAGACTAAGTTTTGAATGAATTATAAGACACTGAATGCAAACACTTGTGAAGCGAGTGATTGAATGCATTATCACTTGATTTGACATTTGATTAAACATTTGATAAAAAGCACATCAAATGCTTGCTATTTATATAACCAATTGTTTTGCAGTTTTCATATTTGATTAGTTGTCAAAACTGTATTTTAATTATAATGTCAATTAGGTTTATTACACTGTGTGAACTAGACTTGATAATTTGTACCTCAAACAATACAACTGAGGTTTTCAATTTTGACATGTTCAAATATTTATTTAAATAATTAAAATACTTATATTAATTAAAAATATAAAATACATATTTAATACATTTTAATAGATTTTTCTAATCAGTAAAATATATCTAATTATCACTTATATTGTGCAATATTTTCTTAATTATAAAATGAGTAGATTATAATAATTTGTTATTTTAAAAGTAGTTTAATGCTTTTAACACTTTAGATGTCATTTATTGTCCATTAAAAGCAATTAAGTGTTAGTGTTATCTGATTTTATTTGACAAAAATATTTTCTTAGAAAAGTGTGGCAAACATTTACTAATGAATAACATGTTACATCATACGTAACAATCATAAGTAAGATTTCATAGATTAAAGTAAATATTTTTGCCAAAATTAATCCTCATTTTAATGAACATTTTATTTGAATAAGTTATCAAAACAAGTGAATTACATTTAGCACTGAAATCCCATTTGAGTGCATATTTAGTGCTTTATTTAATTTTATTTATTGGTTCAGTACTAGTAGTTTGTCACAAGTATTTCACTTTCGGAAAATTCTGTATTCATTAATAACGAAATAATAATTAACTAGCATATATCAGTAAATATATAGAGTATTTTATATTTTGTTGGTTAATGTATTAAACAATAATTGAAATCTATAAATTGTAGAATAATTGACCAGGATCGTCATTATTATTATCATAACAACCATGGTACAATTATGGGAGAACCCTGTTGTACTTTTGTATAAAAGTTATTAGACTTAACCTGCACCAATACTGATACAATGCCAAGTGTTTTGATATTAAGTGGCTTTTGTTATATCAATTGTATTTAAGTCTAAATTATACCCCAATTAAGTCCTCCCTTCTGTTTAATGTAAATATGATATGTATTTATCATTATTTAATAAATTCTGAAAATTTATTGCAAATCACTTGAGAATTGTTTCACAGATTATTACTTTTAAAGAAATATAGATTAGAAACTAATTGACCGAAAACTGCTGTATATATTTGTGACAAACAAAAAAATTTAAATTAAATATTTATAATTCAATTAATGATAAGTTATATCATATGAGAAGCTATTTCTGCACTTTTTATAGACGAATATATGATATCTAATGGAAATAAAAATGTTGTGATAACTATTTTATACAGATTTTATATAGTATTTTAGTTATTAATAAAGGCATTGCTTTCATATATTTTTATTATCGCCCATTCCTATGTCGATAGTATTGGGTATCTTTGAGCACAAACTAATTGTTTGATAAACCAATTGATATCCTATTCACAGTAATTAATATATTGTCATCCCATACACAGTGTTATCGTAAAATATTTTTATATATAAATATTTTTTCTAATTTATAAGAGTTTAGTTCATATTTACTCTTCACTCTTATATAACATGAAAGCATAAGCTCTGCAAATTGAGTCCTAAATCTCTGTTATAATATATATTTATAACTTTTTTTTATTAAAAAACTTGTTATTGTTTTGTTATTAATTTCGAAGACTTCCGGAGATATTTATAGCAAAAGAGTTTAAAGACCTCTTTATTAAAGTTTTCATTTTTTCACTCTGTTTTATCACTCAATTCCAGGTATTTGCTGATATAACAGTATTTGTTATTAACTCGATTTTAATATTGGTTTTCATTTGAATTTTCACTTTCATGTGACAACTCTTTAAAATTTATTAATAAATAGAGTTTTTACATAAATAGTTTTGTCGCTCTTTTTAATCGATTAATTTGAATCATATGTAATATTAGTTTCAATTGCAATATTTCCTATTATTTATAGTAACATGTAATTTAATCGCAGGTTTTATGTGATTTATCGTTTAGAAAATAGTCGCAACTATATTTCGCAAACATATTGTAATTTTATTATTTCATAAATTGTTTTCTTATAAATCTAGTGATGTCTCCATTGGATAAGTCTTCTATAAATTCATTATTTATTAAATTGTCATTAATATCATGTAAGTCTTTAACATTAGTTTGTGTTAAATATGCCGTATATTGACATAAAATTACTTTAAATAATAGGTTTGATAATAAGTTTAAACGCAACAAATTTAAAGTATGAATTGACAGTATCTGACCAGGATTTAAGTATTACACTGGACCAAAAGTCCACTGTGACCATCAGACTTAAGTAAGTTATAACCGCCAATTTGATTGTCACTCGTATTAACTGCGATAATTGTATCTCCAGTCCCACTACAGGTGAAGAGATTGCAATCCGATTGTCATGCGATGATGCATTTGACCATGATCAGTTCAACACTAGTGACCCCAATTGTAAAGATGTGAATGGATTTAAACCCATTTATCACATAAAGCCTAACCAGAAAAGTATTGACTTTGAGCTCAATGGTGCTGAACCGGGAAAGACCACAGTTATTGTCAATACAGACAATAACCAGACTGAGTATGTTATATGCCATACATTTTGATTGTTAATCAATGATAACTGTGTTAATGAAGTGTTGATATATTGTATGGTTAGCACAACCAATGCATTTGTTCGCGTGAATGTGGCCCGAAGTAAAGTGATCGATACGGTGGGGGTAGTGATCGGTTGGATATACTTTGCGGCGTGGAGTATATCCTTTTACCCCCAGATGTGGATTAACTATAAGCGCAAGTCTGTCGTTGGACTCAACTTTGACTACTTGGGCCTCAATATAACGGGATTTTTGTTTTACTCGTTCTTCAATTGCGGGCTATTCTTCTCACCACTAATTCAGGATCAGTTCGATGAGAAATATCCCAGAAGTGTATTACCCGTCGAGACCAATGATGTAGTCTTTGCATTGCACGCAGTCTTTGCTACTGTTATAGTCATTATTCAATGCTTTATTTATGAGGTATGTTTTACTCCTAAATATTAATATTGCATTTAAGATGCATTTATAACTCATTTCTTATATTCCCAGAGAGGAGACCAAACGTTATCTTTGTTTTCAAAAGGATTTCTAGTCATCGTGTGGTCGGCATCCGTCATATTAGCCATATTAGTGCCGACCACTCATTGGTTTAATTGGTTGACGTTTCTGTACTACTTTTCCTATGTTAAGTTAACCATAACTATAATCAAATACATTCCTCAGGTATTCATACAAAACAAAGCGTGTATTTATTTGATTTGAAATTATAATTTGAATGCAATTCTTAAGGCGTGGTTTAACTATAAACGACAGTCGACTATAGGCTGGAGTATTGGCAATATTTTACTCGACTTCACGGGTGGATCACTAAGTCTTCTACAGATGTTCTTATTGGCTCATAATTACGGTAATTTAATCAGTCGTTCATTTTGTTTATGATTTCATTTAATGTATATTTAATTTTTTCAGACGATTGGCTCCAAATATTCAAGAATTTCACGAAATTTGGTTTAGGAATGGTTTCCATACTATTCGACGTCCTCTTCATTGTTCAACACTATGTCCTCTACAGACATGCCGTTGACTCTGAGAGCACTCGACTCACAACTGGTCTCAATGTATGTGATATCGATAGTAAAGAAGACGTTGTTAAACAAATGTAATGATAGACTATTCAAACACTTAGTATTATATACAGTATATTAGACGAGCGCTTCCTTAACCGTACAGTACTTTTAAGAATCAAAACTAATTCTGGATTTAAATCTAACTTATTATACAATTTATTAATTTAATCATTTAATTCTCATTTATGTCTTAACACAAGTATTGGCACAGTGTAACAATAATAATAATCATTATTGATTTATAAATCATAACAAATCAGTATAAATGCAAATAAATATTAATTCATTCGTTTACTGTTGGGAACTAACTGATCAATGCATGTCTTAAACAGTATTTATATTTAAAATAATAAAAATAAAATTTCTTCCTATCGTTGGTTGAGTTTCTTGTGAAGTAAAACTACATTTCATTACAGACTTCAACATCAGATGTGGATTCTATCGAAGCAAATGAATAATACAAATGAAATAAAGGCTAAAAGATTGCCTCAAATGTATGATTAAATTCAATGCACACCTCGTCGTCGTCTGTGATATTATTATCGATACGAATGAATGACTGTATTTTGAAATGTGAACAACACGTCAATCACTTGAATTATAAGTGAAACCAAAGTCATAAACTAAAGTGTTTTCAGAGTCTAATATAATTTATAATTTTGATAAAAACAAATTTTTTATTTACATTTTCACTATAATTAAGATTTTAAAAATCGCTTGAAATACATTGTTTTGTTATAAAATCTTATCGTTTGAATAATAAATTTGAAATGTATGTTATATTTCGAGTGATTACAGCATATGATTGTAATTACAGTAAATGATGAAAAGGAAGTGTTTTTTAATAGTAAAACAATTTTCTAAAGATTTTAAAATAATTTTGAGCCATAGTTTTGTTAATACAATAATATGGTGATTTAAAAATCAATGTAAATATTTTTTTTAATAATTAACAAATAAATAATAAGAAATATCATTAATTTAATACAATTATTGTATTAAAAAATCACTTAAATTAAGTAAACAAATTATGTAAGATAATTTCGGTTGTTGAGAATACTATAGAAATTTTGCAACTATATCATGACGTTTATACTTACACTAAAAATAAATAATTAACTACTGTATAATTCATCCAAAAATGCTTTTAAGTTATCATTTACGGTAGTTCTCAATAAATTGACTCAAATTATCAAATAATCGGAATAAACACTACAAATCTTAATATGAATTTTAATAATTAATACTTCAGTGACTATTAGTTAAGTTAAATAAAATAAAATTATAAATCTCTTAAACCGTTAAATAGAAAATAATACAAATCAAGAAATAATAACATCATTTCACTTAATCGTCATAACATTACTTTTCACAATCAGTTTTATTTGTATCACTAATACTGACAGTTGCCGTCAATTGATTTTGTTTCTCCAGCTCCTCATAAGTGGGAAGTTTGTCATCGATTACGAGTTTAAGGGGTTCGTCATAAAGACAGAGATACTTGAGATCACTTCCCTGTCCAACCTATCGGACAATCAAATACCACATTATAGTGAAAGAGTATTGAAAATGTTGACAGGAATATAGGAATACCTTTCTGGCTCTGATATGTTGTTCGGGTGCTGTAGTAGTGGTGGCGCAACAAATCCAGACCAACACAAAGATGGCTAAGAAGAGGACCGACGCCAATACCCAACGCGGGACTCCCGACTCATATGGAAAACAATTGGACCAACTCTTGCCCATTGGTCTGCTATTGACCGCATCATCCAATGGGTTGTCTTGTGTCCAAATGGAGAGATCCAGTTTCGGCCGATTGTTGTCTGTTGTCATGTGTTCTTCACTTCCCGTCACGGATTCGCTTTCATAGTCTGACAAACATATCAATTATCATCAAAAATCCATTAGTCTCCGTTATAAAGTAAAATTTTCGGAAAATATTTTTATATTAAAATTTGAGACATTTGCATAAAAGTTAAGTAAACGTTTTCAGTAAACTTACTTTGAGAGCATTTAGTTACGTTTAAATAATAAAAATTCTTAATATTTAGAATCATATACAGTATAGTACTGTAAAGTATATGATAGAAAATAGTTGAAAATAATATAGAGAAAATAATAAACCAATTTTATTATTCATTAAATCAAATATTTTGTTTGAAAGAACAAATGAGATGTAGTTAACAAATGGGAATATTTAGTAATCATATAAAGTGATCAATTAATGGGTACAGTGCTGTAATATAACTGACAGGATTGTGCACTCATTTATTCAATATCTTACCAAATCTTACGAACCATTGATTCTCTTTTCAATAGTGAAATATAATTCAATTTATTTTGAATTTTAATGTAATCAATGTATTCGTTATATAAATGGTTTGAATAAGAGATAACGAAATCGTGAACCAAAAGAAGACATAATAAATGGTTAAATGCAATGAAGTGTTGGTCTGAAAACTACAAAAGTGTTGGAGAATAAGGGTTTAAATGATTGTCGAGTAAAACAATAGACATAAAAAGAGTGTTCAGTTGTGTATAAATAGCGTGAATGCAATGGATTCGAGAAATGCATTTAGGATTAGATTCAGTAGAAGAGAGAGTATGTGAGAGATAGAAATAACTACTGAGAAATCCTTTGAACAAAACTAAGTGCAGTCGACGTACACTACACTAAACTGGTGTGCAATCAATAAAAGAGCGAATAAAGTAAAAAATGTTACATTAAATCCTGCAAAGAGTGAAAAAATCAGAGGCAATATTTCATTTTAAAAGCCTTTTATAAAAATATAATTTTAAACTCTGTAAACGTATTTTCAATTCATTTGCAAAAGTCATTTGAATGAAACTCTCGTAAATCAATGCAAATTTATTAAAAAATTCTTAATATTTAGAATCATATACAGTATAGTACTGTACAGTATATGATGGAAAATAGTTCAAAATAATAAACCAATTTTATTATTCATTAAATCAAATATTTTGTTTGAAAGAACAAATGAGATGTAGTTAACAAATGGGAATATTTAGTGATCATATAAAGTGATCAATTAATGGGTACAGTGCTGTCATATAACTGAGAGGATTGTGCACTCATTTATTCAATATCTTACCAAATCTTACGAACCATTGATTCTCATTTCAATAGTGAAATATAATTCAATTTATTTTGAATTTTAATGTAATCAATGTATTCGTTATATAAATGGTTTGAATAAGAGATAACGAAATCGTGAAGCAAAAGAAGACATAATAAATGGTTAAATGCAATGAAGTGTTGGTCTGAAAACTACAAAAGTGTTGGAGAATAAGGGTTTAAATGATTGTCGAGTAAAACAATAGACATAAAAATAGCGTTCAGTTGTGTATAAATAGCGTGAATGCAATGGATTCGAGAAATGCATTTAGGATTAGATTCAGTAGAAGAGAGAGTATGTGAGAGATAGAGATAACTACTGAGAAATCCTTTGAACAAAACTAAGTGCAGTCGACGTACACTACACTAAACTGGTGTGCAATCAATAAAAGAGCGAATAAAGTAAAAAATGTTACATTAAATCCTGCAAAGAGTGAAAAATAACTACTGAGAAATCCTTTGAACAAAACTAAGTGCAGTCGACGTACACTACACTAAACTGGTGTGCAATCAATAAAAGAGCGAATAAAGTAAAAAATGTTACATTAAATCCTGCAAAGAGTGAAAGAGTGTGTGAAATAAGAGACAACACCATCACATCAAATGAAGAGAGAGAGAGAGAGAGCGAGAGAGAGAGAGAGAGCTAATGAATGTCTAAGAGATTGAGATGAAAATAGACTTAGACTATGATTGGATTGTGTGAAGGGATCAAAAGTGGCTAAAAGTTAACTTATTATGACTTTGAAAATGAGTTTCAATGGAAGACAAACTAAAGCAGAGAAGAGTTATATTAATTGGTTTTGATAGCAGAATATGAGTCCAAAGAACGTGTGATTTATTGCCGAGATTTGTCTTACCGTTCGCTTGCATGAGGTCTGGGTATTGATGAACGACTACTTCTGGCTCCGACTGAACGACCACTAGTTTGGAGAGCCCTTCGCTGTTGCGACTGAAGAACACAGACATCGACGAGCGCTCGACGACGACCGGTCCCGACACCCGACTCACCACCGATGAGAACAGCGATTGCAACAAATTGATGGGAGATATATATAATTGATTTCTATTACGATCGCTGCTATCACTAATGGCATCGCCTATCACTTCCTCCTCATCCGTACCATCGAATTGCACTTTAGGTTTGCTGTTGTCGTGGCTATTGATTGCATGTCCAGACGTATCGGTGCGGACAGTAGTGCTGTTGCATCCGACAGAACAGGCGAAGTATTCACTCGAATTCTGCTTTGAATCATAGGCTGAGGAACAGGCTATGGGAACAGCAAATGAATGGTTAGATGTGAGACAATTGATAGTTTTTATTTGTGCTTTTAGTCAAAACAATAAAATACAGTATTATATAATGGGTTTTAAAAGCATCAAAAGAGTTGTGTTTTTGTTTCTCATGTTAAAATAGGATTTTTAATGTATTTTTGTAATGCATTACAGAATATTCTGTAAAAACACATAAATACACGAATACTGAACACATGACAGACTTGTTATACTGTACCATATAATAGAAAATAAATATTATAGTAAATCGATAATAATGTCTAAAATATAATAGATATTAAAATAAATATCTGAAAATATGGAAAACTTTTTTAATATGAATAGCGTTGTGTGCGTTTGGCATCCGGTGTCATATTAGCATAATTTACTGTATATTATAATTCTCAAAGTTTGAGGCATTGAATAGATTAGCCGACAAAAGAGCAAAAATGAAAATCAATCAAAAGCAGAGATCACTTGGAGATCATGTCATAAACAATGTATTTGCAAAGTATATCATCAATTCGTGTCACGAAAACACACAAGTCTTCGCTCTAACGGCACAACTCTAATGGATATAAAGTAATAGACTTTAAAGCAAAGAATAAAACAATTGAAATCTAGTATTAGAGACGACAGAAGGACACGAGTCAATAGTATATAATCCTCTCGTGTTTGCTATCATATATTTTCATTAAATATATTAAAATCAGTGATTTAGAGATTAATATTAGACAAAATACAGGCAAGAATTCAGATATTAAAAATTTTCATACAAATGACTTTTATATGCTGTATACAGTATAATACTAAAGTTATTATTTATTAATATTCTATTAAAAATATGTCTCTTATTTTACGCTAAGGGATTAGCATTGGAATTAAATTCGCCATTATGCTATAATGAAATGTTTTTGAAATTAATTAGACGATCGATAAATCATCTCTCTCTCTCTCTCTCTCTCTCTCTCTCTCTCTCTCTCAATGATTAAAGTATCTGAAATGTGAAAATGAGTTTATGCTTCAAAAGCCTACTACTGTATATGGAAAAGGTGTTAGAAGTTTAGCACTTGTGGTAAACGGATAATAATATACAAAATACAGAAAATTAAGAGACAGACGATGTGTTTGTGTTGGCATTTGATGTGAAATATCAGTACAACTTAAGGCAAAAGATGTTGTGTTTCATTTAGTAAAGCAATGAATTCTTGTCTATTATTCTATTATTTACAGTTATTATAGTTTTCTCGTTGTAAGAAAAAGTTGTCTAACAACCAAAAACTAATGACTAATTTTTTGTAAACAATTCT